ACAATTACAATAGGCCTTCGCAGCGCTTTGCTGCTCGGGCCTAATAAATCCTTCACCAGGTGCTGGGTTGGATGGGCGTTGGTAATACTATCCATTGTTGTGGAGTCTTCAAACCACAAACCAGAATAAGAGCAACTATTTTATTCAGTCCAGGTAGAACAAACACCTTCAAAATGGCAAATAACCTATCTAAGTTAGCATATTAACTTATTTCAAATTTATGAAGTCAAAACCCATTAGCTCCATGAAAGTGTGGCGTGTTGACAAAGAACTGAGTTGTTTTGACTCTAAAAGAAGGAACATGAAGTACCAGTCTGTGCAGAGGTGCAGTGGAAGGGCTATCCAGTAAGACTCCCCAGAGGTTGCTCATTTGAGCTGGAATTTGAGCAGAACAAAAGCCTGCCTGACCCTGACCAGACCCCACATCAGAAATCACAGAAACTGTCCACTGTGGACTTCTGCTCGACTGCCCACTCAGTGCGGAGCAACATCTCCCCCATGTAAGAACCTAGCAGATGTGATTCATGTTTTCATTCATACTTTTAATCCAACGTAAGCTCCTTCTGTTCTTTTCCTTCTCTTCTTCCATATGCTTTGACTGCAGAGGATTTTGATTCCTAAACCGGACCCCTATAGCTCAGCCTTCAGCAGTCACATGACAAAGATCCAGACTGGTGCAGTTCAGCACTGACTGTGTGCAGCTTCAGAGAGCTTCATGAAGTCACTGTCTCGGTTCACATCTCAGCTCTGCTGCATCTTCTAACGTCTCGCTAAGACTGACTTTGAACCTCCAAACACGGTAAGTTGTGTCTTGTTTGATTAATTCAATTACCTTTTTTTTTTTTCAAAACAGTTCCGTGTTGTTTTGTGCTATTGTGGGAAATCCTAGAATGAAAAATATTCTTAGTCTTGCTGTCTTGAACTGTAGAACAACAGAACAGAATACTTCATTTCTAACAAGCAAACAAAGCTGTAAAGTAGGTTCTACTCTTCAGTAACTACACTCATTCTGTTTTTCTTTAAATGTTTCATGTCTTTTGGAAACTTTTATGCATGAAAAAAGTGAAGCAATCTGATTTTCACTGACTGAAATTGTTTATTTTCATGGTGATAACTCTGTTTCAGGAGTCAAACCAAGAGAGAATCTTAAATAGGCCTGTGAACGAAGCCTAAAAAGAGCATCAACTTAATAAACTTAGAATCATTTTCTTCTCACGTCTTGAATGCCATTCTGGAAAAAGGAAAATCTTGAGATAGGTACTAATCTTAAAAAAAAAAAAAAAAAAAAAACTTTAAATAGAATCAAAATGTTGATTATTTGTGTGAGAAAATTTGGGATTTTGGTAACTCACAATCACCTCTGGGTCAGGGGTTCACTGTTTTAACAACTTTTAGTTTTTATTTTATCGTAAGTCCAGGTTTGAGTATTGAAATGTTTCTGTTTAAAATTAAATGCACAAGAAATCTTTAACTGAAGACTTGTTTGCTCAAGTAAAATAAACCTGACAGACGGGCCTTGATGTAATTGCTCAGTCTATAATTAATTAAACAGATCAACTAACATTTTTAGGAGATCCAAAACAGAAAAAAATTAATTCATTAGAATCTAGCATTCCATAAAGGAATGCATATCACCCACAGCCCTTCATGATAAAGTTTTAAACCAGGGTAATCTTGTGTTGACAAATCATGATCTGACTAAAACGTGCTTGACTCAACGTGCAGGAAGATGAGGAGACTCCGATAAAAATAAGTAAAAGGTTTATTACAGAATTAACAAAACAAAATGCTGACGGGGCAGCTCTTACTTTAAAGGAGGACACGAAGGGGAGACGGATCACAAAGCCTTGGGAAGGACAATCCAGAGACAAAGACATAACACCAAGGGGCTGAATATATACAGACACGGACAAGGTGAAATGACAGGCACCTGCAGTGATTAGAATATGACACAGGTGCGACAGTGCTGGAACACAGGGAGGAGAGAGGCTGAGGGGTGACAGGCAAACATGAAGAAAACACAACGTGTAGGACCAGACCCCAGAACCAGATGGAGTTGTAGCCATTTTGGTCAAACCTTGTAAATAACATTTATCACAATCTGATTGTTAGTTCTTGCTGTGAATGACTTTCAGCTACTACACATCCAATTTTAGCTTGATGTATGTACTGTGTGTAAATATGACTTAGTCATTTTAGTGTTTTCTATGGTGAGTTAGTTCTGGTAGCCATCTTGAATTGAGTTGTATCCAAATGTTGTTCAGTTCAAGACGACAGCTAATGATTCTTTCCTAAAAGTTTCAATATATTCCATGCAGAATTTCATAAAATATTTCGCTAACAGTCGAACTTGGTGGGAGACGGCGACGAAGTGAAGATTCAAAACGTCTGCTGGCTTGCTTCATTAGATAAATAGCTTTTACTAATTGGCTTGTGTGTGTATGTGAATTAGGGATGCACAATATTATCGGCATGGTATCGGTCGATATTAGCGTTAAAGTTCAATATCGGACATCGGCCATTCCATTAAAATAACTCACCGATATAAAAGACGCTGATTTTGTATGACAACCCAGTGACAAGGAGCGCCAGCACAACGTGATAATGTCACGCGCCTACCTGATCTCACGACCGAAAGGAAAATAAAAAATGTCAGCAGTGTGGAAGTTTTTTTTCATTGAGGATATTGGATTCTGTAGATTTATGGACTACGGTGAGCCTCGCTACATCGTCCCCAGTCGGAGCTATTTTCCCAACGTAACGTTACCCGAGTTACAAGCCGTCTTTTCCAACGTCGTTGAGAAGCTAATAGCCGATAGCACGACTTGTTGGGTGAATTTTACCACAGACATTTGGACGTCGTGTTAGCCTCGTTAGCATGATTAAGTCCTACAGCACAATGGATAGACAAAAACTTTGAACTTAAAAAGTCTGTCCTTCATGCACAGGAGTGCAGAGGATCCCACACTGCAGCTAGGAACCTAGAACAAGCCTCCACAAGTGAGACAGCATCACAGGTGACTAATGCTAATAAATAACATTTAACACTTTTCATTTAATATAAGTTGAAGTGCTCTGCATATCATATGGCTGTTACTGAATATATGTCACCAGCTCTTACAGCTGTTGCACAATTTTTGTAGCAAATAAGCCTAAATAAGAGGAATATGTTCTGACAAATTATATAAAAAATATCGGTATCGGTTATTGGCCAAATAAGTTTTAACATATCTGTTAGGATTTGTGTCAGGAGCGAACCCAGAGTGCAGAACAGGGACTCAACTCGGCAGAAATACAAAAAATAGGCTTTTAATGAGAAATTAAAGTACAAAATAACAGGCTGACGAGGCAGCAAAACTTACATGGACATAGGAAGGAGGCACGGGGAACTCAGGAGACACGAGAGACACGGGGAACTCGAGGAACCAGGAAGACTCAGGGAAAGACTCAGGAGACCCAAGGAAGAGTACCCAATGAAGACGACCCGACGAAGAACAAGACAGAATAGGGCGGCTTAAATACAGGGACAAGATGAGACGTGATAACAAACAGCTGGGACGAGACACAGGTGGCACTAATGAGGGAGCACGAGGGAAACAGACACAAACCGGGCCACAGAAAAGTACCATCCTTACAATATCGGCATATCGGCCAAAAATCCAACATCGTGCGTCTCTAATGTGAATGTTTCTGTTCAGTGCCCTGAGACAACTTCTGTTGTGATTTGGCGCTATATAAATTAACTAAACTGAATTGAATTTAACTTGACTGCAAACAGTTAATAGCAAACTTTAAAGAAAAGCTCATGCACAATCCATTAATGCTCAGATTATGTGCTATGTTTTACTCCCAGCTACCACCACACCACGTTTTTGCTAATGAGTTGTAAAACTGACCATGTTGGAGACACAGTTGTCTTTTTAAAATCAGTTTTCATGGCAGACAATTTGAATTCAGTTGCCCTAAAAAAAATCACTTGAAAATGTACATCTCATGGTTACATTTTGCAGTTTCATTCAAATTTGTCCAATGTTTTGAGAGATTATTTGCTAAAAGACAAACACACACAGACAAAAACATCTCCTTCTCTTCGCTTTTCGGTACTTGGCATTAAAACTGAGAAGCAGCTCACCATTTCTCTGCTGCCTGTGTTTTTAAGGGGAGGTCTGTGATGTGGCTGGGGAGGGGAGTGGAAATGAGAAAAGGTGGAGCTCCTTTCATTGAGCTCCCTCCTCTCTCACTCCTCTTCCTACACAGGACTGAGAGCACATGGCTGCCTGGTTTAGAGGCCACCTCTAACAGAAACATGATGCATCATGGTGCTGAGCACATGTGCGCCTGTGCAGTCCCTCTCCTCACAAGACACGGAAGTAGTGTGAGATTTGTCAGAGGACTCCTGTGTGTGGGAAATGTAGGGAGGGTAAGAGGGGAGGGTACCAACACAAATGTGTGTTAGTAAAGAAACAATGATGATGATGATGGGGTGAAGGTTTTATTAGAGGAGAGAGATGAGAAGAGAGCTGTTTCTCTGGTTCGGAACAAGGTAAGAGACCTGATTCTGCTTCAAGATAAGAACACAACACCGAGGAGTGGGAGAAGCTACTGGACTGGTTATTCTGGAGCCTAAAGTCTTTCAGTACCTCTGCTCTGAGGCAATAATACATGAGTTGGGTTTATTATAGCTCATAGCAGGATGGGCGTGTAATAATTTAGTAATACAGACTATAGTCCAAAGGACCAGGAAGTTAAAGCAGCATTTCTTTCCTCTTTCTGATCAACGCTCCCGTACGCCACAGACTTTAGAATTTTTAGTTTTTCTCACGACCTTCTAAAATAATCAGCCCTCTTTTGTAAACATATCTATTAATATTTCTTTCACATGTTATTAGCATTTTTTCTTCAGAGTAAGACTTCTCCTTGCCCATAATCTATCTTAACATTCATAATTATTTCATATTTATGTTTGTGTCATGTCACATGCTGCTTTTTATGGGAGCAGTGGCTCAGTGGGTGAAAGGTCAAGCATCCACAGGCAGTGAAGATGACAGGTACAGACAGAGAAATACAAAGATCAGGCGCGTACGTTATACTATCAAGGAAATGTGATTTTACAATACAGTAATATAAACTTCACTTAAGATATTCCTACTCAAATATGCTGGTTTCCTTTGTTGTTTATATGTATTAATCAAAATTATTCTTAACCATTGCTGTAAAGGATGTAAAGGAATCATTGTGATTTTTATATCTTTAAAATATAAGTTTAAACAATCATTTAATTATCTGACGGCATAGGCTGGTCTTAAATAACTTGAAAAAAGGCAATATTTGCAGTGGGTTATTTAAGTAAAATTTTAAAAAGCAAAACTTTAAATTGGATTATGTTCAAGTTAAATAGATGTCAGGCACCCAACAAATTCAGCCACACTTTTTCATGTAAACAAAACAAACCCACAACATTTTCCAGGAACTTCAGACTAAAACAGTAACTTTAACAACTATGAAGTATGTTCTCAACATTTTGGGTCCCTGCTTGGTTTTGTGATGAAAAAGTCCCTAAACTTGAATTATTTAGTGTTTAAAACTTTCCCCACACAGAAAGAACTTTGCCCTGTTGAAAGAGAATGAAAAAGGAGAGAGGGCTCAACACAAAATACAGAATATTTGATAAAGTGAAGCTCCATTTTCAGGTGTTTTCAGTCAGGTGGACTGCTGCATTTTTCATGGATTATTTTCTGCTTGTTGCTAAATTTACATTGTCCTGTTCTAAAACAAAACATACCAAACAACAGAGCAGCTAACTTCAATGTTCATTTGAATTATCTATCACACAGCTGAGCTCACAGTCAAGAATCTTCAAAAACTGTCTCAGTAAATGGGTAGGATTAGGAGTTACATAGTTACAGTTTATATATGTGACTGGATTGGACATCACAAAATACCTATTGATTTGGACCAGTAGTAGTAGAAGTCATAGTAGTAGTAGTAGTAGTAGTAGTAGTAG